CATTTAAAAGCAATTCATTTATAAAACAGTGATTAACATTTAATTAGAATGGACATGCGAAATGTGAAAAGCGTAGGCAAACAGAAAAGCAACAACAACTCCAAGCGCCGATCAGCTGTCGCAAATCAAAGCACGAGTGCGGCTAATGTAAGGCGATTATTATTATTATATTTATGATATTTTTTTTTTAAATATCATTATTTACAATTCCCATTATACTGTTTTTATTAATAAATTGCGCACGTTGTGCTATTGATTTTTGTTTTTGTTCTGTTGTTGCCGCATTACGAGCATTTGCGTTAACTGTGTCAGCGATTTTCATTCGCGCTGCATGTTGTTATTGTTGTCGCTTGAATGTGCAGCAACGTGAAATCATTAAGAGCACATAAATGTCACAAGGCATTTACATCATTTTATTAAAATATTTCCGCCGTCTCTTTTATTTATTAAATATATTTGTACTCTTGCAACATGTTGCTACAGAGTATATGTTAATAGTTTTGTTCATCTAACGGTTGTTTGTGTCACCTATGACTAATCGAGATGAATATGGATTTATATAACATTACCATAACTAAGCTCTACAATAAGATACAAGTCACCTTATGACCAAAAATTGTTCAAGTCATATCAAAACTATTCAATTCCCCAGATACCGAATATGCGGACGTCAGTTCCTATTGCGAACTTTTTACCGAAAATATCGGTCAACCTGTCATATATATTATTGAAATACTAAAAGTATTTTCCCCGGCTTTGATCCTTGCAAATTGCGAGTGCTTAAAATGTTCGGTTACAGCTGAACTAGCCCTTCCTTACTTATTTATACAATACAATTTTTAATTTCGTCGTTAAGTGGCTGCGCAAGCGTAAGTGAAATACGTAGCAGTTGTAACATTTTGATCTCTTACACAACTCGCCGCCGACACACACACACACACACACGTATGTCGATAAAATTGAAAATTCCAAAAGTTAAGTCGTACTCATTAAGTGAAAAGATTTAATTAAGCAGGGTTGTTTGTACGTTCGGTACAACATGGCGTATACGCAACATTCGAAATGCGCTCACCGTGCTTATGTGCGTGTGTGTATGTGAAGGTAAAAAATGGAATTGGGTTATACTTGGCAGACGCTTGACTGCAGTGAATGCCCAGCAACGAAAAAATTAAAAATTTCAATGAAAAAGAATTTCGCTATAATTCTTGGCTTCTTCGGATCGGTTGTTGAAAATTCAATGTTGTACGAGTATGTATGTTAATTGGAATCGAAAATATGCAAGCAAATTTGCACAATTTAATTTTTGATTATGACATTGGCTTAAATCGGAAAAATTCCTCTGTTTTACAAACAAATGAAAGAAGAAACTGCTTAAGTAGCCATTTATATTTATATAGTATGAAATTAACAAAGAACTTTTAGAGCGAATAAATATTGTATAAGAATTGCAGTAAGTAAAAAAAGTTGCGCGTTTTCAATTAACATACAGCTAGTTAGCAACTTTAAGCAAGTTGATATTAAGAAGTATGTGTAAGAAGCTAAAATGAAATAAATCATTAAATTATATATTGTAAAATGTAGAAAAAAAATTTAGTTAAATCATGAAGAAAATTATATAAATACAAAAATATAAAAGAAATAGTCTATAAAAAAAAATTTTTTTTCATTCAAAACTAATAAAGCAAAAATTAAAATATCATGAAATTATGATAATATTAATGTTATATAATAAAATAAAATAAAATTTCTGAAATAATATATATGTTAAGAATTTTTATATAATTTAAACGAATTATAAATATAAAAAAATAAAATTATTATTCAAGTATGTATGTACATACGAGTATATTAGGTTGGGTTAAAATAAAACAAATATCTTTTTCGCTTTGTAGTTTTTTTAGCTTATAATAATCAAACTTTAACTATTAATATCTTTTAAACGGTTAGATCTATGAAAAAATCGTAACCATTTTCTGGAGCATTAAATTTCTAAAAAAGCAAGTATTCTTTTAAGTAGCTGGAAGCGAGATATGAATTTTTCTATCTGATAATAAGCAAAAATTGAAAACTGTAAGCCGGAAAATCTTACCGTTACAATTAAAAGCTTTTACTTGGAGAGCCTTTCTTAGAGGTGTCTAAAAACCTATTTTTCAGAATGCTAAGCGAAAAAAATTCAATTTTGTTTTGACCCAGCCTAATATACAATATATACACATTTCTACTAAAATAAATTTCTATAAACAAAAACTGACCTATAATTACACCGAAGCTTTCTAAGCTGTTAAAACCTCTTTACCCAACCTTCTGTTATTCCAAGAAATCTAAACAGCAATTTTCTTATTTATATGATTAAGACATTTTTTAGCATTTGTGTGCGTTTAATTTTCAGTCATAGCTAATTTAAATTTCTTTGTGTCATTTAAAAATTAGTGCAGCTTACTCACCTCGTGTGATAAGCTCTCCGCTGTTCACAAACTGTATGGTACAAACAAACTTTTTACTGTCAGTACAAAACGCTTTTGTGTGATTATGTTTTAATTGCTTTTGTTGTTGTTGCTGAATTTTTTAAAGCTGGTATCAGTTGCCTGGCTGCAAGCCCAGTAGGCACTTGAATGACCTGTTATTAAATGATGCCCCCACTATCTTGCTACAATTTGTCAAATATAACATTCAAGACTGGGGAATCGAACAAGCAAGCAGTTGAAAGCAAAGAGAGTTTGTGGTGTGTGTGTGATTCTAGTGGTTTTACCAATTTAATGTAAGGTATCTATCTCTTTTTCTCAAATGTTTGGTTTATAATCTTGCGAGTAGCGATTTTAATACACAGTTGGTTTCTCAAATACTTTAACGAATTTTGTTTCATTCAACAAGATATTCTCGACACTTGAATTAAGAGGCTTACCGAATCGTTTGTGAATTGGAATTTGTTTTTGCGCCCTCTTTTGACATTCTATTTGCAGAGAATTTGGCACTTTTGGTTTGAGTGTCGCGATTACGTGCTTCTCTTTTTATAGTTTAAGCAAAATGTTTTATACCGATGCACGGGAGAGTTTTGAGAGCCGCTGCTATCTCTCTAATATGTTTATTGTTTGGACAAATTTTATATTTTTGCGATGTGAACAGAGCTGGCGGAAAATTTTCTACTATCTCTCGACCTCACTAAATAATTTCTTTCTTTGAAATTCTTTCTTTTCAATTAGAGCGATTGCAAAAATCCGCAAGCAAAATCTCAAGTTCGATCTAAGTAATATAGGTATATCAGCTTCAAATAAATTTCCACTTGGGCATAGCCGATATGGTATGTGCTTTGTTTGTCGTATCTTGTTTCGTAAGCCCCTACTTAGACGCTTACGAGTATATCAAGTAGCGTTTTTTATACGATTTTTCGGGTTTTTTGATTTATTTTTTATTCTTTGTGTTGTTGTTTCCCTGAGACTGACCGCTTCAGCTATGTGGTATGCGACCAGATACTACAAGTCTTACCTACCTACCAGAAGCAACTCCGCTTGACAGCCAAACAGCTGACGCCGAAGGAGAGTGAAGCGCGGCGCATTGACACTACAACGAAACAACACAAACAACAACAAGCCAATCAGCTAACTCACTAACCAAACAAGTAAGCAACCAGCAATACTTTGCGGTGAATGCGGCGGAGGACAGCACGAGGTTGCTGAGCTGGAAGAAGTGTAACAATAAAAGAAACCCAACCGGCGCTGTCAATTTTCAGTTTGGCACGAAACGTCGACTTACCGAGTTGTGTGCGAAGTATTGTGGCGTGTTTACCGCGCAAATTCGTGTCGCTTTGTAAACCAAAACAACGAAGCGTTTCTATAATCGTTAGAATTATTGAACTTTAAATTCTGCAGTTATTTTTTCGTGAGTACTGTTTAGTCACACGAAGTGAGGCGTTCAAAGTATTGAGTGACGCAGGCGCATTTTGATAGCGCAAATGCTTGGTAGGTGAAGACGGTATTTATGGAAAGTGAACATTGAGTTTTTTCTTGTGCAAATGAAGTGTGTCAGCTGTTGTCTTTTTCAATAAATATGAATGAAGTTGCTTTAAAAGTGCGAATGCGGCGCTACACTGTGCGTAATTTTTTTTGTTTTTGTTTGCGCTTGCGCTCTAAAGTGGAGAGCACTGCTACAGGAGCATTTATAATTGTTATACTATAAACCTTAAAGGCTGTTTGTTGTTAGTTTTGGACTTCGAATAACCAACCGATGATCTACTAAAAAATCAGTATAAATAATTTTGAAAAGAAAATGTTATAATATCAAATTGTGATTAAAAGTTCAATGAAGGCGTTGCACGTACATACGTATGCATGTTATTACATACGGGTTATATGCGTGCCTTGCTCTCTTGTTGGCTTCAAAAGTGTATTGACAATTTATTATGAAATTAAATTACTCTACCTTGAACAGGGTATATTAAGTTTGCCATGAAGTTTGTAACAGCCAAAAGAAAACGTCGGATACGCTATAAAATATATATATATATATATATACAATATATGAAGGATCAGCGTGACGAGCTGAGTCGATTTAGAAATGTACGTCTGTCTATGCTTTCGTCTGTTTGTATATAAGCGAACTAGTTCCTCAGTTTAAAAGACCTAATATTTGGCACACTTCTTTTCTCTACAAAAAGCTGCTTAGTTGTTATCTGACCGATCAGAAACAAGTTCTGGTATGGAAAACTTTTTTATTTGACAAAAAATCTTAACGAAATTCGGTAAACATTATAATCCAAAACAGTCCTACAATCACCGAATATATTGTTTAGATCGGAAAATTATAACATATAGCTGCAATATAAACTGAACGATAAAGATCAACATAAAGATCTGTTTATACCATTTTATGCCATAGTAAATGCACATGTGAAGCATAGTTAACTTTTTTTCTTGTTTTTAATTTTATTGTAGAAAATGATTATTTAATTTTGATTCAAATTGCATGATATAAATTCGATTTTCGATTCGAGGTTTCCGTATTAATTTCGATATTCGAGTTAACCCTGAACTATTTGAAATATTAGCGATATACCCGAATAAACAAGAACACTAAATGAATATAAGTTAACTGTAATTCCATTTGTACAAACAAAGTAGCAATTTTCAAATGACAAAACAAGTAGCAGAAACAAAAAAGTACATACAGGAAAAATTTCTAGCCAAAAGCGCTTAATGAGCAAGCGAACGAAATTAGTTTTAGAGTAGTAATGAAAATTACTGCCAAATAGATAACATTAAAAACAAACTATTCCAACTAGCAATATCATTAGTACTATTTACAACTTGTACTAACAATTTTCGCATTGTGCATCTCAAACAAAGCGTAACACCTGCCAACTTAGCTAACGGCAACAACCAAGCGGTGAAGGTGTCGCCATTGACACTGGCAACGACACTGTCGACAATAACAGCAACAAAAGGCAAGCAATTACAATAGCGACAACAACAACAATAACTATGTTGTGGATGAGAAATAAAAAAGTTGAGAAAATTTGTGTAACAATACAGACGCCGAAGCAGTGATTGTACACTTCCGTTTGGAAATTAAGCGACTTACTGTATAGATTTTTGTAATAATTTTAAATTACAGTTTTTTCGCAATGCCAGAAAATATAACGAGCGCACTGACAATCATATGCGCACGAGAAAAGTTTAAAAATAGTTTTGTAATAATTTTTGGAGTGTTTTAAAATTTACTGCTGGGTTAGCTGCGTCGCTGCAAAAACAACAACTAGATAATAAAACCGGAAGAGCAAACTCAAAAAGTTAAGCGGCTGACTTAAATTAATTCGAAAAATAAAAAACTACAGCAACAATGCACTACAAATTTAGTATGCACAGAGCGAAAGCTGAGCAATGTGAGCGCAAGAGAGCTAATTTTTGTAATTTTGCAAAACTCAAAAATATAATCATCTTCAGAAGTGTTTTCGAATTTTGTGTTAAGCTGTGCTTGCTAACACACGTCACACCATTAGCAATGTACGCACATATTTAGATAGAGTAAAAATGCATGCTATGTACATACATATGTAGACACGTTTGATGTATAGGCCTACGCCTGTATGACAGTAGTAGCATCACAACAAACAAATTCAAGGCGAGACATTTAGTTTGCAAAAAAAAAAAAAAACAACTTACATTGAGGTCTTTGCAACACTGAAGGTTAGTGCCTGTAAGTGTATACCCTGTAGGAAATGATTTAGTAGGCAACTGTTGCAGCTCGAACAGATACAAGTGCTGCAACACTTTTAATCTGCATCTTGAGTTGAAGCAAGAGTAGAGAGAATACCATGAGTGTTTTCGGCTGTGTTCTGTCAACCAGAGAATAATATAATAGGTTGAACCCCACGCATTACAATAAAGCTTCGCAAATATTTGCATTAAAAAGAATCTGATAAGATCTTGATTTGTGTGTGTATGTTGAGAACTGGCAATAAATTGTTTGATAACAGCCACACACATGATATAATAGGAAGAAGAAGCTTGGATTAAAGCTAGCAAATGTGATAGAAAAAGCATAGCTCTTTTAAACTTGAAGTTGCAAAGTTGGCAAACGAAAATTTCACGAAGTCGAAATACAAAAATTAAATACATGGAAGCTATAGAAAGAAAAATACAATGCTGATAAAAATATATAAACAAAAATAAACAGCACTACTGCAGTGCAACAAAATTAACAACAACAATCAAAACAACACGATCACTGTGAGCAAAATGTTGCTGTGATTGCTGAGAAATAGAGTGCGATAATAAGCGGCGCGAGTGTGTGGAGAGCGCTGAGCATGCGAGTAGCATACCACACAATCAACCCCCCACCCCATTCATTCCAAAATGGCATACGGCGACGAAAGCAAAAACAATAACAGCAAACGATTGCCCGCAAACGTACACAACAAAAGCAGCTGGCAACAAAAAATCTCTGCAGTATTGTGAGCAACTTCGCAACTGCAGAGTACTCGTGCTTTTTAGCACCGGCTGCTGCAGCCGCTCCACCCGCATACCCCGCTCCATAAACCAACGGACGAGACTAAATTTATGCCGCATTCGCTACTATCGCTGTGAGCGCATAAAAAGCTGTCGTTTTGTTGCTTTTATTGTAGTTGTGCGTGTGTTTATTTATTTGGCAGCAGAAGTCGCGAATTGTCGCAAGAGTGCTGGGTTAGAAAGCAAAGTGAATAAAAAGCAAAACAAAAATATTTTACACAAAATGATTGCGAACCACCACAACAATTGGTCACTCGTTGCTCGCCGGCGCTCAGTTGGCGTAAAATACATTTAATATATGTACATACATATATAAATACACATATATTTCTGTATTGTTGTATAAATATCGCAGTGTTTTGTGTTTGAGGCTTGAATTTGTGAAAAGATCCGCACCGGCGACGTTCGCATTTTTTATTGTTGTTATTTATTTTTATGTTTTTTTCTTTTAATAAAACGCGCTCGCACATTTGTTGTGGCATTTGCACTAGTACGCATTCGCTTGTCGTCGAAGTTCGCGTTTTACCCTCTTGACACGAAACAGATTTATTTTATTTTTTTGTATTTTCGTGTTGAAAAATTGTATCTGAAAAATTGTTAATTGGTACGCGGTTAGTGATAGTGGATGCCAAAAGTTATTTGTAAATTTACCAGGTGAAAGGAAAAGTGTGTTGTGCGTAAGTGTGGACACTGGCAAATGAAAAGTGCAAGGCAAGACAATTCTCGCTGTTGTAAAGTGAATAGAAATGATTTTTAAAATAAATTTTATATAATATTAATGAAGTGGCGATATTATATGAAAAATTAATACGTATATATATGTTGCTATGTAAGTATATAAAGTGCATTCAACGGAAAGTGAAGTAAAATAAAAATAAAAAAATGAGAAAACCAACAACATAAACAAACATACAAGCAGCGATAATCACAAACGTGAACAAATACAACATTTTTATAACAGTTGAAACTGCTCAATAGTAAGAAAAAACGATAAATTGTACAAAAAAATTTTATTAACAGTGTTGTATGCAAATCTTTATAACAACAAAAACTGTATAAGCTTAACTAAGCAGTTACAAATATACCTATATATAAATATATATATTTATAGTAATACTACAAGCTGTTATTGCACATATACAGTGATTCTAAAGATACTTAAAATCGCACCTAAGCGACTACAATAAAAATAAAAACAACAATTACCAAGCCAACTTTGCATATGAGTCATTCAAGCGCCGAAAAGCAATAAAAGCAAAGACACACTTGAAAATTCAAATAAAATTTCACAAGAAAATTCAATAAGAATTTTATTAACCCCAGCAACCATTATAGAATCCTTGGCAATTGTTGCCAAAACATAATACACACATACACACAGAGCTAAAGAGTGTTTGAGTACACGTGTCTGAGCCAAGGCAGCTGCAAGTTTACAAACAAAACAAAAACAATAACAAACAAAATGAGAACTAGAACAAGCAACAAATTTAGCACAAAGCCAAGTAGCATATGACATACATATGCATGTATGTGTTGTGGCAGCAAAAAAAGGGTCAGAAGTGGTAATTAAGGTAAACAACAACAAGAGTTTGCATTGAAAATTAAATATCAAATAAGTCTATACAAAACGACGCAATTAAACAACTAAAAATTTAGTAAAAATACAGCAACTTATGTAAAATACAACAACACACACACTGCCAAAATATTCTAGCTACAACATTTCGTACGCAAACTAGATTTGAGCAAACTGTAAAAATCTCAAAACGAACAACACTTTTACAAAAAAAGCTTTGAGTTTCGACGCGCTTAATTTAAGCGCAGCATAGAACATTAAACAACAAAGTGACTTTACAGTATCGAAAGGTACTGTTTTAGAAAATACAGCTACAACTGTAACAGCGCGAATTTACGCTTCGTTTAAATAAAAGTACACATTAGTTTGTACTTTTCGAAAACCGTCGAATCTTCACCGCAAACACGGTACAATTCACAGTGCCCCCCACCGGCAACAAAATTGCCACAACGGCGACGTTAACGCGCTCAGAGACAGTAGCTGCCAAAATGAAGCGACTAATGACGTGGGAACGCGATCTGGTCGATGCGATGTATGGGTAAGCGTTCTTAGAATTTAATTTAGTTTTTTTTTTGGATATTCATATAATATTTGAAAAAGATTTAAGCATATTTCTTTCTATAAAAAATAATAATTTGTATAACAATTTGTCTTCAAACTATCACATTTTGGTTTTATTTTGTAAGAATTTTGAACAATCTAGGCAATCACATAAATCGTTGTTATCTACATAATAACTTATCAGCAACCTCATTTACTACCGCAAAGTGTCTTAAAAATCTTATTTTATGAGAGGTACGTGTGGAAGCTTTCATGGATCAGTGCTTTAAGAGTTTTCTTTAAATATTACTGCAAGAAATATTAAGAAGCCTGGAAACAGTCATCGATATTCCGCCCATACGTACTTACCACCCGTATCAAACCAAATTTGTCAAAAGGTATACACGTAGTGGCAACGTAGAAATCAGCTGTTCTCTTTTGTTTTTATTTCACCAATGTTGCCATTGTTTACACGATTTTTCTCACATTTAGTTTTTTAGTTATAATTTCTCATAATGTTAAAGCTCAAAACTAAAATCCAAATATTAAAAATAGTCTACCTATTTATAAATAAATATATTCGACTGTAATTTTGAGTTAGTTTAAGAATATTTCAAATATATTCAAGTTTGTTTTTTATTTACAATAAAATATATCTTGACTGGCAAGCCTGCGTTGCAAGAGAGCAATCAGCTCACTCGTTTCTACGGCAAAAATACAATTTTCGCGGATATCCTATCGTATGGTCTGAGCGGATGGTAGAAAGGTGGTGAGTGTTCATTTACATTGTGCTCTCATAAGATAGATTGTTGTTGTAGGTCGTATCAGCTGATTCGGTCTAGGGTTTTGCGTCGGTGACTGTTTCCAGCATAAGTTCGATATATTTCATATTCTTAGCGCTGCTCTCGCTCCTAAAACTCTTTTGATTTTCTCAGCGGAATATTAATTTCATGTTAACCTTGTGTATCGCCAGAGATAAATTGAAAATGGTTGCTCTAGCTAGATTTCAAGAAAATTCGATACCTTTCATGTTGGTATTGCTTCTGAGGTGTCCGAAATTATTTACAAAAGATATGTCGGATAAGTGCGATGTATGAACAGGGCTTGTATTTCTTATTTGACATATAGATATAAATATTTCGTGTTGATCTCGGTTAATCTCAAATATCAGTAAAAGAAAGTTTAAGGTAATTTGGAATTGGACGATCTTGCGTGTTTTGTGATCCAAATAGAATCACTTGAAAGGTTTTAACTTTAATAAGAATGATAATGAATGAATGCAAAAATGTATACTTTCGGTTAAAAAAGATGCAAATATCTGAGTAAAGAGGTAAGCGTATGAAATATACAAGTTCAAAGAACAATTATTAATCTTTATAAAAATTCAGTATATGAATATTATTTCTCGTAAAACAAAAAAAACCCCAAAGGCCTCTGACCATGTTACTTTTTCCTACTGACCATATGGTATTTGCACTGCTTTGTCATTCACTCACTCGCTCGCTAAACAATGTCTTCGCTCGAAGATATGTGATTTCAGCGAATATATCATTCAGAATGCTCCACTATCCTTTATTTAAAAACGTGAGCAAATATGGTTTAACGTAGCAGAATACTGTTATGGATGCTAACATTATGTCTACATATGTGCAGTATATTGATATGTTATTTAACATTAATTTGAAATACAAGGAAAAATCGACGCAATTTTTTTACCGCTTCAAAGTTTTTGCACTGCTATTATTTTTATTTCAAAAGCGATGAGTAAGTGAGAAATATTTATTTTCGCATAACATTAAAATTATTATTCTATGCGACGGTTGAAAGCGGCTTTAAGGCGAGATTTTTATACATACTCGTACTGTGCATATTTATGCAAATTTGAGGCTTCTATGCAAATTTGTACAAATATAGCTTATGTATGCTTATTTATACATTTTGCTATATCTAAAACTATTTAGCATTTTATGATTTTTCTTGAGAAGTTATCAGTTTGCTGTTTTAAGTACACTAATACGTGTATGTATGTAGGTATACTGTTAGATGCAACAGTTGAATGACTCAATATTGTTTGCACCTTGACCACCAAGCGGACGTCGTTTAGTTGTTATTTTTGGTTTTTTATTTGCAGCAATGGTGACGCTTCGTGTTGCTTTATATGACAGCAGGCTAATGTGTCGAAGCCACACGTTTTGCATATTTAATTAAAAACGTTTCTGCGAAATCCATAGAAATTTGCTTGAAGGGAATTGAAATGGTGAAAAGCAACGGACGACAAATAAAAGTAGCGAAAACAATTTGTTTGTGATGTTTTGGTAGTTGTGTTTCACTTTACAGTGTCTGCTTGCAAAGATCAACTGAACATGTTGTACAAGTGATAAATTGGCAAATCAATAAAAATTAAATAATTACAATACAAGAAAATGTTTGTAAAATAGCAAATATAATTGGCAACGGAGAAAGGTCAGTTTGATGGCTTTGCTGGCAGGCAAAACAATTCACTATTTGTATGTATGTACATATACATATTTACATATACATACATATGTATGTACATATGTAGTTATGTGTGCAAATGTGCTTATTGGATTTTTATGCATAAACTAAAAGCCAATACATTACAGTGGTACTTCGTTAGGTGCTTTCCCGACTCAAGTGTTCGTCATCATTTAATCATCGCTCACTTCAGTGGAACTGGAGTGGTAATTCTGCATATATGTTATATCATATAGATTATTAATGGAGACCACTACCGGTTTTCACTGAATAAATTGACACTTACAAACCAACGCATATATTTTTATCATTCCGAAGAATTAGATTTCATTTAGCTGCTTATAATAAACAAATAACTGTATAATTTATCATTGGTAAAGAAAATATTCATCAGAAAAATACCGAAGTGTAAATAATTTATATAAGATTTACAACAGCGTAGAAGTCTAAAAAATAACATATGTTGTTAAGTATAAAGTGAAAAACCACCAATTTTATTTTAAAATCTTGCATAAAGTATAGTTATTCATACCATTGTTATAAAGCGCCAAAAAACATAGCACACTTTACAATAACTTATAACTAAAATATATATTTGAAAATTAAATTCGAAAGCATAAGTTTTATTTCATGTGAGTCACACAGCCAGGCCTTACTGTAAACGTAAATGCAGGAAATACGTAATTTGTGTTCTATAATTAAAAATGCTGTAAAAATTGGAAACTATTTTATGGATTTCGTAATTACAGCAGATAACATTCGATAACAAATATGGCACTAAAAAGAGCAATTGAGCATATAATGTAGACAAAGCTAGTATACGCAATTCCACGCAGTTTCATGGATAGTGACAGAATTTAATGTGGCTGTTGTAAAATTCTGTAAACTCTCAATTTTATTGTTGCAACACTAACATACAAATTTTTATTCGAGATTATCTTAACTGCAATACAGTTCTTTACATTAACCTTAATATTAAGAACAACGCTTTTATTTCTGGTTTCCATAGATATAGTTTTGGTTTAAGCTTAATTCTGCAGATAAGAAAAGCGAGAGAACGCTTTGTTTGTAGATTTCAGTTTTTTCCGATTTTCAAAACTGCGATCTATGAATGAAATCGTGGAATGCTTTTGGTATGCTTTTGTTCAGGCTATTGAGTGCTTAGAAACTAGTTCTGAACTTCGAGAACATTCGCATATAAAATCGTTATGAATTTTCGAAGAGATATTGAAGTAATTACTGACAATTTTTAACGAGGCACAAAATCTTTTTAAAACATTACAAAATTAATATTCACTTTATTTGTTTGCTTCAACTCATAAAGTCTCAAACTTGAGATACTGAAAAATAAAATCTGAAAGTGTTTCTAGAATTAAGCTGAGATATCAAATGGCAAATACTTAATTTATAGATATCCAGAATAATTTTAATTAATAAATAATTTATTAATTGAAAATATCTGAATATTTCATAATGAGCGACGTTGTATAATAAATATAATTCTCACGTTAACAAAGAATGGTGAAGTATTAACATACATATGTATAAAAGTAGAAAGGTAAAAAGAATAATAAGACAATAAGCTGAAGCGCGGTGAATACTTATACAAACATATGGCTATAAAAGTATATACATTTATTTGTATATAAATTATTTGTATATATAAGTATATATGGTAGTTTAATGGCCATTTTTGCTACCGCTCGCGTATTTTAACGAAACGTCACGAAATGTTTATTTAAACTAAGGTAAAGCAAACGCTTCCACACAAATATGTTGGGTAAAAACCACTTAAAACAAATAGTTAAACAATTAAAGCACGTAATAACATAAACGAATAATATTTGGCGGGAATACTTGTGCAGTTTTCAGAGTCAGTGTATGAATGAACGCTTTTGTTGTGGCCAACAAAGTTTACTTCGATTTCTATATTTATTGTTGACATTTTCGCATTCTTTCAATTAAATGAACATAAAGTAATATGTGCAATCGATCAAAATCAAAAAGTGAACTGTATGAAAACATTTGCAATTACCTCATTTTTAATTAAGCACATACGCGCGTGCACACATCTGTTTTAACTGCATTTGATTTGCGTGAGCGTCATTTATGTTGACGTAAGCTGTCATTCACTCTGTCATTTAAATAAATTAGCTCAACTCCAATGTTATTTAGCTTGTAATACATTTTTTGTAAGCGGTATTATTGAATTTGAGAATTTAAAGAATGGGAAATTCTATTATGAAAATGGGAAATTAAATAAATTATATAAAATTTTTTACTAAAAGGATGCTTTGGCCTTTTAATACCTTAGTAGAGAATGTTATTAACATTACACATTCGCCAACTACGGTGACAGCTGCTTGCGTGGCAACAGACAGCCGAACAACTTAAAGTAGTTTTGTGTTGAGTAAGAACGGAGTTCGGCGTTGCATGCAATTTTATTTCTTGCTGTCATATAAGTATATTCCTTAAGGAAATTTTGCGGTTTGCCAATAGTTC